TGGCCAGGTCCTGTTGAGGCTCTGAGGGGAGAATGCTTAGCCTTTTTGGAGGCTGCCTGCATTCCTTGATTCACAGCCTGTTCCTCCATTTTCAAAACTGCCACTGCACCCTCTCTGTCTTCCTTGATTTCTGTGGTGTCTCCATGTGCCTCCCTCTTATAAGGATACAAGTTGGGCCTTCTGGGGTAATCCTGGGAAATCTCTCTATCACCAGATTCTTAACTCACATCTTGAGAATCTCTTTTACAGATAATGTATTTGCAGGTTCTAGGGATTCGGACTTTGATGTTGGGACTATTGTTGAGCCTAACACAGAGGGGGAGACCACAGTAATTCTGTCAGTGATGACTGCTCTGAAGAAAAACTACCTGGAGAGTGGTTGAGATGCTATGTTGGGGGTGTGTGTGTGTGTGTGTGTAAGTCCTTTAAATGTTACTGATTATGTGAAAGTGAAAGTCACTCAGTTGTGTCCAACTCTTTGTGAGTTCATGGAATTCACTAGGCCAGAATACTAGAGTGGGTTTAGCCTTTCCCTTCTCTTGGGGATCTTCCGAACCCATGGATCAAACCCAGGTCTCCCTCATTGCAGGCAGATTGTTTACCAGCTGAGCCACAAATGTTACTGTGGCCCTTAAGTATTTTAGGCACATGTTACCTAAGGTCTAGATAACTGGTCATGAAGAATCAGTGTCCCTGGTTCTCCTGGAAGAAAGGTAGTACAGCCAGCATCTCGACTTCGTGAGCAGGAAGACAGTTCTTTGATTTATGCTTACCCCTTAGTATTACTGTAGGGTACTTTTCACCCAGCACCACCTATCTATCAGCACTGATTAAAATTTCCTCTAGGCCAGCAGTTGGCAATTTTTGTCCTGCAGAAAGCCAGATAGTAAATATTTTAAGCTTTGTGGGCCATATGGCCTCCTTGAAACTAATCAACTGCGCTCATGTTGCAGAAACAGCAGCCATAGACAGTTGCAACAAATGGGCCTGGCCTTTTTCCAATAAGATGTTTCTTAATGGATACTGAAATTCAAGTTTCATTTAATTTTCATGTATCATGAAGTTTAACTCTTGATTTTTTTTTTTTTCTTGCTTACAACTTTAAAATATTAAGAAGAACAATTCTTAGCTCAGGGACTGTTTAAAAAGAAAAAAAAGAAAGAACTGCAGGCCTGCTAAATTTGCCCCTCAGACTGTAGCTAATTGCTGTCATAGGCTTTGGGGCCCACTGGGCTCTTCTAGAAAGTCTGTAGCGTTTAAACCATCACTTAGTGTTATTTCTTTCCTGCGCTGTGGTCATCCAAAGCACAGAGGCTTGACTGCATCCCCTAGTGGATGCTGCAGTTTGTTGGCAGCAGCAGCTGATACAGTTTATATAATCATGCAGACAAGGAGCTTAGGCAGGAGAATTTAAGCAGTTTGCTCAGGATCACATAAATAGCAGAGTCAAATTCAGATGTGGACTAAATCTGAGCTCCTAACCAATATGCTACACACCTGGTACCTTTTCTAGTGTTTTCCCACAGTTTTATCTTCATGATGAGAACACTGAACTGAAGCCCAGCCTCGCAGTACATGTAACACAGCAGGAATGAGCACTCAGATCTTTTATTCTAAGAATGTTTTTGAACATCACATCACAGGCATGTGGAGTTGGCATTGGTGATGCCAGGATGAAAGAAAAGATGCTGTCCTTGCGGAGTTGATGGGGTTGTGTGAAGATAACCAGCAGGGGCCTCAGGGAGCCAGTCTGCCGTCAGCTAAAGGCTTCCAGCTAAATCTTGAAGGCCAGGAGGTGGCTGGGGTGGAACAGCCTTCACTGAGTGCTCTGAGAACCTGTATTAATGCAGTTGTGAGAAGAAAAAGATCATGTTTGGGAACCTTAGGGAAACAATGGAAGGGATAGTCTTATGTTGGGATCTTCAGATATTGGTAAAAGAACCTAAAGGGATGCTTTAGAAAGGGTGATATTTTGTTTACATTGAATAGAAATAATATAATCTGCCATCAATGTACTGGATCAGAATTTGGTGGGAAGAGGGCATTTCAGGTGAATGGTGATGCAGGGAAGTGTAGAGGCTAGTGTCTGCAAAACACCAGAGCTTTTTGACTTAGCCCCTTGGGCAGGCAGATTCCCTTTTGTAGGAAGGGGAGAATTAGTGAATGTAGGGATTTTTCCTTCCAGCCACTGTGCTATAATATGCATTATCTCAAACTCAGTAGTTGAGAGGGCATGCTTATTTTACAGAATGTAAAAACAGACTACCAAGGATTAGGTGATAGCCAAGATCACCCAGCCTTGAGAATGATAGAGCTGTTATTTTAACCCAGGTCAGTTCGACACCAGAGCTCATGTATAATGGGTAAAAAACCAAAGACCAGTGTACATCTGCCCAAAGGGTAGAGTCGTGTTTAGGGGGAGAATCAGTATCAGTTAAATTCAGTTGCTCAGTCGTGTCCAACTCGTTTGCAACCCCAATTCTGCAGCACGCCAGACTTCCCCGTCCATCACCAATTCGTGGAGCTTGCCCAGACTGATGCCCATGGAGTCGGTGATGCCATCCAGCCATCTCATCCCCTCATTCCCTTCTCCTCCTGCCTTCAGTCTTTCCCAACATCAGGGTCTTTTCCAATGAGTCAGTTCTTCACATCAGGTGGCCAAAGTATTGGAGTTTCAGCTTCAATATCAGTTCTTCCAATGAATATTCAGGACTGATTTCCTTTAGGGTTGAGTGGTTGGATTTCCCTGCAGTCCAAGGGACTCTCAAGAGTCTTCTCCAACACCACAGTTCAAAAGCATCAATTCTTCNATATTTTAATAGTTTACATATTTTTATATTTAAGATATTAAAATTTTTTTCTTAGTTTTATTTTATAATATTCAAAGCCCCACCCACATTATTCAAAGCTCTTTGTGGGAAATCCTAAATAATTTAAGGTTCTAAAGACATCTTGAGACTGAAAGTTTGGGAACTCCTGTTCTTTATCAGCTGCTCTGGTCAGTGGTCACTGTTTCTAGCAATTGTAATTGGAGAATGGGGGACATTTTTCTCCCATCTCTTGTTACCCCATCTGTGTGCTTCTTCCTTATGCTGTAGGAGAGGAGATGTCTGTTTGTCTGTCTGTCTTACATCTCAGGTGGACAACCTCTTCCTTCGAGTTGAATGACAGCAACTTCAGTTTTAAGTTGGACTATAATTTTAAAACATCATGTGTAGTTCTGGGGTCAGCTGAATACCTCAATTCCCTGCCCTTCTGATTTTACTTTACAAAATTAAAAATATTCAGGTTCACCCAGAGCTTTCTTTGTAATATTGGTGCACTGGTTGATACAATTTTTCTTAAACTTGAACCATAAGAACCCAGGTCTGATACAGAATTTCAGTAGAGAGCAAATCATGAAGGTTGGAGGGAGCATGCTTTTCAGCATGACAGTTTCATGCAGTTGTTTTATTCAATAGTAGAGGAAGCAGTTATAGGAACTGGGTGGTTTTTATTTAGGCAGCCAGTGATTGTGTTCTGGCACCATCTGTGTTAAGTGCATGCAGATAACATGAGGCTTAGATTAAAAATGGTTATTTTCCCAGAAGAACATCTAGCTTCATTTATTTGTTAATTCTTCTAAAGCAGCGAGTCAGCCCTTATGCTGTGAGATCAGCTAGAGAGAGTAACGCTTACGACCTGAAGCTCATATGGATCCTTTGATCTGAAGGGCTGTTTTTCTCCCCACAGTGCCTTGCATTGGAGGAGGAAGCTCGCCATAATGCCGGTTGATGCACACTGGCTGTGTTTACCAGCCTTTCATGTTAGGCCTTTTGTGCAGACGGTCAGGATGACGCGGTCCTGCCCCTGCTGTTGCTGGTTTCCAGGTGTCCTCCCTTTAGTCCCTGAGCCGCCCTGCACGCCTGCTGCACTGCCTGCGGGCAGCCACAGTGCCGCGCCGCCTCCACCTTTTCACACTGCACCCCCTTCCGCATCCCAAGCATCCTCTTCTCCTGACCCTAAGCTCTGCCTTTTGCCCCCCACATCTGATGGTAGGCAGGAGGAAAATGTGCAGTCTGGGCTGGTAAGTCTGCAGGCTTTTTTCTGATTACGAAGGTTAAAACTTGATTTTAAAATTTTTTGTGTGTATTTGGTAGCAGCTGTTCCAATCATTCTCTGTTAGCAGATTTTTGTTTTAATAAGAAATTTTAAATGCATCACCAAAACAATGTTCCACCCAAATGTGAACTCTAACTAGTGTGTTTTAAAACTAGTAGAGTCAAAGGATTTTGTAAAATTAAAAGTTTATATTATAAATGCCAAATATATGGAAAGTATATATAGGTAACTTCATGCATAGGCAGATTAAATAAATGAGCTTTAAAGNCCTGTTTATTTAAAATGTCTTATGAAAGTAGGGACTTTTAACTTTTCCTGCAGGTAAATGGCAGTTAATGATTTTCTTCTGAATTTCTGGATTTTATGCTTTACCTGAACAATGTAGAAGAATAAATACTTGGCTAACTTGTTTCAGTTGCTGTTTGCAGGGTCCTATCTTACTCTATAACCTTAGTATACTCATTCTACTTTTGACTAGAAAGTATAAATGTTTGCCAAATTGTATTGAGTCTACTAAAAACATACAGTACAGCTGTTTTTAAAACCTAATTTAAAGCATAGTTTAAAAATTGTAGGAAAAAGAGAGCTGACCAAGCTTGACTCAGGGGTGAGTTGATTCTTTGGGCCGTCTGGACCGTAGTTTCCTGGCTTCTGCAGACACGCTGCAGGAGCTGTCGCCACGTGGGGGGGCGTGAGCACAGCCCTACACGGCGCGGGTGACTGGTCATCACTCGCGGGAAGGGTGAGCTTCTCCCATCGTGTGCTGTGATGTGTCAGACTGCGGTTCTCCTTTGGAAGTGCCTCTGTTTTTCTTCAAAGCAGGGTCCTTTCACAGAGCTTTCCAGACATCGCTGCTTTTGAGTTAAATTATTTTCTCTTCCATTGTTTTTGTTCTTTAGGCTTCTCAGGAAAGCAGACTTCAAAATCCAGTGAAAATGAATGGCTCCAAGGATGTCCCGGAGCCCTATGACTACGACCTCATCATCATTGGAGGGGGTTCTGGAGGGCTGGCAGCAGCCAAGGCAAGGCTCCTTGTGTGTCTTGGGGTATGGGGAAAGTAGTCAGATCCTTACAGCTGTGATCTGCGTGTTTTTAGAGCTACCCTTGTTTAACTTTTACATTGGGGTTGCACTAATCATCTTGGTATATGAAATTCTCATTATGCTTTAGACATTAGAGCTGTGTTAAAATAGCATTGATTTTTAATGGTCCACTTCCACTCCATCATGTTAACCATTTCAACTCATTTTAATAATTTATTTTCCAGGAGGCAGCCAAATATGACAAGAAGGTGATGGTTCTGGATTTTGTCACTCCAACCCCTCTTGGAACTAGATGGGGTAAGCTTTTAAAATACCTTAGAAGTGAATTTGTAGGAGCAGATTTTTCCCTGGCTTTGGTTTGAATGACTTCTAAAATCCAATTTTGAAATTAAATAAATTTAAAAAAACAAACGAAACACCTCCCTCTTTCACTTGTGCTAGGTCAGAATGGACTTCAGTTAAATGTTGAATACTCAGGTTCCTTGGCACAGAGTCCAGATAATACAGAACCGTGTCCACAGTGTTTTGATGATTTAAAGATAAATATTTGAGTAACTTAGTATATTCAGGGGCTTAATCAGTGAAAGTTTAAACTCTTCCTGGATTTCTATTTCAAATCTGTCTCCTGTGTCCAACAAGAACTAGAATTAGATACCTTAATGGATAGCCCTTGCTTCTTCTTAGTCTTGGTGAATTCTGTGTTCATTATTTATTTATTCAATGAATATTTATTGAACACTTACTATGAATGAGGACTGTGAAGATATAGCAGTGAATGCATAGACCTGAAGTTCCTGCTTCTGTGGAGTTTACATTCTCGTGGAAGACAAAAGATGAACAAGAACTTTACCGATTGTGATACATGGTACTGAAAAAGTTACTTAGTGGAATAGAGAGGAACTGGGTAAAGAAAGGAGTTTTAACTTTGAGACGGTTATCAGTGGTGATCTCTGAAGAGGTGGCTTTTAGATGAAGAATAAGAGAGTAACAATGAGCCAGCCCTGCCAAAAGCTGAGGAAGAATCTTCGAGGCAGCTTTTCTCTTTCTCACAGAAAGGCACATACAAAGGCCCTGGGGTAGGTTTGGTGGTTGTGGCATGGCTAGTAGAAGCTGGAGCTAAGATTGGAGAGGAAGGCAGGTGTCAGACTGTACAGGTCCTTGTGGACCAAGATGAGGGATTTGGCCCTGATAATCCAAGCATAATGGGAAAGCTTTGGGAAGGGGAGTAATGTGATAGGTAAATTTCATCAGGATGACTTGGCTGTGGAAGTTAGAAGGAGGCAGGAAGTCTGGGCAAGCCAGTGTCACAATTTCTGATTCACTCATTCCTCAGGTGCTTGTTAAGGTGTCACCTCTTGTCAGACGTGTTCTCGTGCTGGCTGCAGTCCCGCTGGCCTGTGGAGCTCACGCCCTCTGGTGACACTCGGCCAGCACTCCCCTGGAAGGCTGCTAGTTCCCAAGCGGTGCAGTCCTCTGCCATCTTGCACTCTTGGCATTTTGGCTGCCTCCCCACCTGCTTATATTATGTTCTGATAGAGACAGGTTATCACCGTGTTCTTTAAGTTCAGGGACACTAAATCTTTTTAGGGACGGACAGGTGTTATGAATCCTTTGGTGAGAATCAGTGAAGGCTGTGGACCACCTCCGTAAAGCATTGCTCATGTTCACTAGACTTTTTTTATTACTTTTTGGCTGCATCGTGTGACTGTGGGATCTTAGTTCCTTTAGTTCGACCAGGGATCAAACCCATGCCCTCGGCAGTTAAATGTGGCATCCTAACCACTGGACTGTCAGGAAATCCCCTATACCAAACTTTGCATGTGGTTTCAGACCCACTGCAGTCCAGCTATGCCCTGCTCAGCAACCCCATTATCACTTCTATTCATGGATTTAGTGGCAAGTAAAAGGTTGTACACAAAGTAAAATCTCAATATCTGGCTTTTTTATCAGCAGTCAATTAATTATGAATTTTTGAAGTACATGGAAGTTGTGGAAGTCTGCTCCTTTTCGTTTTAGGGTTGTTTTGCCGTGTTTAATCTGTAAGGCTCTCTGATCTTAGAAATGTCATGAGACTTAAGAATAAACTCATGTAAACAGTGTTGACTACATTAAACAAGTAAATTGTGATGTTTCATAGAATAGCATTGGAGCTTGGAGCAGGCCACCCAAAATATGCACTGTGGCACGTTGATTATTTTGAATTAAAATTACTTAAGAAATGACCAGTGGGACACTCTGGCCCTCCTTTCTGTTGCCTGAAAGCAGGAAATCCATCACATGAAAGGTGCACTCCCTACATCAGGAAGTAGAAAGACACCCTTATCACAAAAGATAGGGAATTCAGGGCTGAGAAGCCTAATGTAAAGAAAACTGTTACTTCTTTACTCATTATCCCAAACCCATACTCTGTTGTCATTCTTAAATAATTGAGCACCCAAAACGTCAGTTTCTTTGTCCTGTCAGTTCCTCACAATATATTATTTCTTTGTCTAAAAAATAGAAAAGCTGTCTCTCTTGGCTACTTCTTAGGTCCCATTTCTATGAAAGCATCGTGTGCACAAATTAAAATGTATTTCTCTTGCTCCTGTTGATCTGTCTTATATCAGATTTGTTTGTCCAACCACAAGAACTGAAGAGGGGTAGATGGGGAAGTTTCCCTCTCCCTTATAATGGTAATAACTGTTGGCCCTTTTCTTTGGAGAATTGTATATCAGACTATAAACTGATTTTGCAATGCTTTTGCAGGTCTTGGAGGAACGTGTGTGAATGTGGGCTGCATACCTAAAAAACTGATGCACCAAGCAGCATTGTTAGGACAAGCCCTACGAGATTCTCGAAACTACGGGTGGAACGTCGAGGAGACGGGTATGTGGGAGAAGCTTCTCTTCCATTTGTGCTTTTGAGGGGCTTGAGCTGGGATCTTGCAGTGCACCATCCATTCTTACGAGACTAGCATATAACCTGGAAATCGTTTTCATTGTTTTTTTTTTTAATGGATAAAATCAGTGTAGTTAAGAAAAAGTGTGGTTATCCTGTGTCTTGTTGGCTCTGTAGTAACTGTTAATGGTAAGAACAGATATTGTACTTGGAGTATCTTTTTATAACAGAAACCCATAATTCTTTCAAAGAAATTCTCATAATTCTAGAGTTTCCTATGGGAATGCAAATTACGTTTGCTTTCCCTTGAAGCTGTTATTTTTCTCTCATCCAAGAAGTCTTGTTTCATGGGCTGATATTTGGGAGGGTTATTTGTTGAGAAGGGGGTTTTGTTGGATTAAAAATATTTAGAGTACCATGGAAACCACATCCTTTTCTCTTGCCCAACAAAAAAGGCAGTGAGGAGACTCAACCTAATGGAATATGAATTTATCATGTAATCTGCTGGTGGTCTACCTCTCTTCCCGCTTCTACCCCCCACCCTGCAGGTTATTTACTCCCGTGTCTAAGTGCCTGAGTCTGCCCTTGGTCCACTCTTTGCCTTCCTGGGAGCCTATGTCAGTGTTCCCAGTTCACAACATAATGTCCTTTCAGTTAATGAGTTAGATTTTTTCAGTAGACTTTTCAGAAATCCTCCTAGTGAAGTTATATAATATTACTATTGCTCACCCACTATTTGCAGTTGGTTCTGTGCTGGGGAAGTATATAAATAAATAATACGAATCTCTAGATACACAGGTTCTGTTTTCATCGACGTGCTGATATCATTGATATACCAGCTAAGTACCCTGGGTGCCCAGAGGTGGGGTCAGTATATGATTTAAGAGGTGACTGGAGATGACTTTTTAGATGTTGTGTCCTTGACAATAAGCAGAGGAGCGGATAGTCAGTTCATTTAGACAGTGAGAAGAAAAGGAACAAGGTTTGCACTTGGAGAATAGTAAATACGTTGGTGTCTCTAGAGCAGGGAGCATGTGGGAACATAAAGCAGACAGTTGCTATGGGCTGAATGCCCTGGGCGGTTTGGGATGAGGATAGGAGGAGGAATGTGGACCAGCTTAGCGAGCTGCAGTTGTGCTGAGGGCAAGTTGGACCAGATATTTCATGGTTCTTGGGACAGCAGGAAGAAGAGGGGAGGGGAGGTAAAGACCATAGCTATAGCAGAGAGGAAGCTCCTGTCTTTCCTCAGTACCCACCTCATGGCTTCACTGGGGTCCTGCAGGTCAGGAGTCATGTTAAAGTCAGATCATTTTCCTTATTCTCCATTCCATCTTATTGCAGTACATATATGAGCCTGCTGTCCCTGGAGGGGGATCCTGTTGTTCCATTTGGCAGACAAGCAGACGGGAGCTCTGGGGGGTGAAGTGGTGCCCCCATATCATAGCTAAGAAATTGGCGGCACTAGGGCTTCCCTGGTGCTCAGCTGGTGAAAAATCTGCCTGCAATGCAGGAAACCCTGGTGTGATTCCTAGGTCAGGAAGATCCTCTGGAGAAGGGATAAGCTACCCACTCCAGTATTCTTGGGCTTTCCTGGTGACACAGATGGTAAAGAATCTGCCTGCAATGCAGGAGACCTAGGTTTGATCCCTGGGTTGGGAAGATCCCCTGGAGGAGAGCATGGCAACCCACTCTGGTATTCTTGCCTGGAGAATCCCGATAGACAGAGGAGCCTGGCGGGCTGCAGTCCATGGGGTCACAAAGAGTAGGACACGACTGAGCGACTCAGCACAGCACAAAGTTTAGACTGAAATCTCTCTGACTTCAAAACACTTGGGATTTACGCAAGTGGTCTTCCTTCAGCCCTCATGTCTTCAGTGGCAGCTTCTCTAGGGGACCAGGGTTTTGGGAACTGTTGTAGAAGCTAGTACTCTCAGAGCTTTTGACCTTGGTCTGTGTGTACCTCTCCTCACCATTCTCTCCCCAGAAGGGGCAAGTTCTGTGTGCAGTCTGCAGGCCACACTTGAATTTCCCTACTGGGTCGTCGGGAGAAAAACCCAAGAACCACTCATTTTATTTGCTAACCACTTTCATAAGATCTGAACCACCCCTGTCCTTTCACACATACTCTTTACCAGTATTCTCAGGGAGACTTCATTCCCTGGGGCCCCCAGGGATAAGATCCTTCCTTCACCTCATTGAAGTATAGGTTGAGACGGACGCGGGTGGTAATTCTGACTTTGCTGTTTACTGCCTGTGTGGTGAGGATTAAATACAGTTCAGTTCAGTCGCTCAGTTGTGTCTGACTCTTTGTGACCCCATGGACTGCAGCACACCAGGCCTCCCTGTCCATCACCAATGCACAGAGTTTACTCAAACTCGTGTCCATTGAGTCGGTGATGCCATCCAACCGTCTCACCCTCTGTCACCCCCTTCTCCTCCCACCTTCAATCTTTCCCAGCATCAGGGTCTTTTCCAATGAGTCGGTTCTTCGCATCAGGNTGTGCTCTGCATAGAAGTTAAATAAGCAGGGTGACAATATACAGCCTTGATGTACTCCTTTCCCTGTTTGGAACCAGTCTGTTGTTCCATATCAGTTCTAACTTGCTTCCTGACCTGCATACAGATTTCTCAAGAGGCAATCAGGTGGTCTGGTATTCCCATCTCTTTAAGAATTTTCCAGAGTTTGTTGTGGTCCACAAAGTCAAAGGCTTTTTAGATACAATTGTGTGATTAAAATACCTGCCAGCCTTAGTTTCAGCCCCTTCTTCCTGACTTGCTTCTTCTAATTTTTCCCTTCAGAGTGTCAGCCAGTTGGTGTAGACTCTGCCCAGCACTTTTCTTGGTTTTTTGTTTAATGGGTTGTAGAGAAACATGTATGGATATTTAGGAATTTGTATGTTTGAACCAATTTATTTCCCTCAAAGAGAAGGACATGTAACAAGAATACTAATCTGAAAAAGTCTAGAGTTTGTTGGAAAATGTATGGTCGTTCCAAGCAAAATTTGATTTATGCCGGTAATATAATTTCCATATAGTGTCCATATAGTGAATGTCAGTGGCCCTTAAATTTCAATAATAGTTCTGGGGAGCTACAGCTCATCATCATTAAAATGTTGTTAATTCATTTAAGGTCTCATACATAAATTGGTATGTAGTTCATGTTAGCTTTAAGCTGTCAACTCAGAAATGAAGTAGGTGGACAGAATAGCTTAGTTTGGTAAGAAAGGTAGGAAAGTACATGTAACAGGTCTTTAGAATCTTTAAGAGATAAGTATAGGCCTCTGCAGAATAAATTTTAATAACAGGGTCAGCAAAGTATAATTCTAGTAAGTTCAGTAATCAAGTGGGTGATGAAATATAACTTGCTGAATTGACAAATCTTCTTTCCAGCAAAAGAATATGTTTATAGTGGTCGTATAACAATAATAAGAACTAGTTTTACTTATTTACCCTGACTTTATTTCTAAATTATGTAAGAAACTAATAAATGCAGAGATGAGGTGATAAAGCAGCCACTACCCGTGTACTGCAGCTCTGCACAGTAAAATCAGCAGGAGCTCTCTGAATTTTAAAACGTAAACCAACTCAAAAGTTATCTTACTTGTGTATCTCTACAGAAGTTATTTATTCAACTAGTTTAACTGTTTTAGCTCTTTCGTGTTCCTTCCCCTTTTCCAGATTTTAAGATAGAAATACATATCTTCGTATTTTTATACCTTCCACCTCTTGTACATCTATGTCAGGGACAGTGATCCCAAAGTCTCTGCCGGGAGATGTGCCCTCCGTTTAAATCCCTTCCCTTTTCCTAAGTGGAAGCGTGGTGGCTTCTTTATTGTTGTCTCATTACTCCTTGTGCCTTCTGAAGCAAGCTTTGGCCTCTGTGGGGACCAGAGCTGGGTGCTGTGGGAGTGGCTGGCCCGGCCTGCTGGGATCCACCACCCAGGGAGCAGTCATCGCCTCCCTCTTTTTGTGCTTAAGTGTTGGTGGTGAAGGATAAAGGATACAGTGGACTTAGACAAACGTTTTATCATTAGATCTTTGAGGAAGAAAGAACTTGGAGGTATATTTTTCCAATGAGAAGCCCCTAGAGGCTGCTGCTCCATGTTCCCAGGAGATGAGGCAGGCATGAATGCTTATTTTGCATTTTTCAAATAGAAACACATCTAATCTCACGGCCTTGACCAAAGAACAGTGCTTCTGTTTTCTTGGAAAACTGTCTTCTCTGACACTGCAGATAGCTCTGAGCGTGGTGAGGGAGGAAAGGCCCTTTGGACCCAGAACCAAGCAGCACAGCGGAATCTGCCTGGTGATGGGGTGGGAGACGGGGGAGGGGGGCGACATGTCCAGGACTCAGCCTGCGATCTGCGCTTCTCCTGAAAGCTCCAAGATGAGACTGTGATAAGAAAAAAATTACGTGAGCTCAGTTATGTAAATTGGAGGGAGTGGTCCTTTCGGGAAGATTTACTGGCTTCATATTTTCTTCAGATATATGTTTGAATTCTCTTGTGCTCAAGAATTAAAATGTACCTTTTAAAAAATTGAGCATTTGTGAAGTTTTAGGATCCCATTGTCCTTAGAGAGAAAGCACAATTATTTGTTTGCAGTTGGGGGCTTGCAGAGTTCCTGGATGCATGTATTCTCCTACCGTAGTCAGCTGACGGTTCACAAGCAGTGTTTCTGCGCTGCTGTGAGTTCCCGTGTAGCTCCGGGCAGGTCATTCATCCATCCTTCATCTCCCTGTGTATATACTGGAAGGAATTTGTGCCCCTTCAGGGTATTTGAGGTAAAAGTGGGCAGGTGCAGTGAAGATAAAAGGATGCTAGTAGCTCTGTTAGTCTGAATATTGATGTCGAACCTAGGGGTGTGTGGTAGTGGGGGGCGGTTCAGGAGCAGGAGAGAATTGGCTTAAGACCCAGTTGCCAGGGTAGGCATAAGGGTGCACCCATGTGAAAAACAGTCCTTGCCTAGGGAGCCGGAATCAGCATTGCAGAGGCTCAGCATTAGGTTACCAGGCCAGTGGAATCAGGAATCCTGGGGGAGGTGCTGGGCTGTGCCAGTGGGTGTGCGTGTAGGAGCGGGAAGTGTCCAGGTGGTATAGGAATGCAGGGGATTTGGGGCATTACTGGAAAGCAGGGCAGCCCTAGAGAACTGGGGTTCCGGGTATGTAACCACCCACAGTCCAACAGGGATCCAGTTACCACCAGCAGCATGTAAAGTAGGAATTTGGATTTTGTGAGACTGCAACTCAGTTCTCAGAATGAAATGCAAGACCAGGACCATAGGATTTCAAATAGAAGCACATCTAATCTCACGGCCTTGACCAAAGAACAGTGCTTCTGTTTTCTTGGAAAACTGTCTTCTCTGACACTGCAGATAGCTCTGAGCGTGGTGAGGGAGGAAAGGCCCTTTGGACCCGGAACCAAGCAGCACAGCGGAATCTGCCTGGTGATGGGGTGGGAGACAGGGGAGGGGGGTGACGTGTCCAGGACTCAGCCTGCGATCTGCGCTTCTCCTGAAAGCTCCAAGATGAGACTGTGATAAGAAAAAAATTACGTGAGCTCAGTTATGTAAACTGGAGGGAGTGGTCCTTTCTGGAAGATTTACTGGCTTCGTATTTTCTTCAGATATACGTTTGAATTCTCTTGTGCTCAAGAATTAAAATGTACCTTTTAAAAAATTGAGCATTTGTGAAGTTTTAGGATCCCATTGTCCTTAGAGAGAAAGCACAATTATTTGTTTGCAGTTGGGGGCTTGCAGAGTTCCTGGATGCATGTATTCTCCTACCGTAGTCAGCTGACGGTTCACAAGCAGTGTTTCTGCGCTGCTGTGAGTTCCCGTGTAGCTCCGGGCAGGTCATTCATCCATCCTTCATCTCCCTGTGTATATACTGGAAGGAATTTGTGCCCCTTCAGGGTATTTGAGGTAAAAGTGGGCAGGTGCAGTGAAGATAAAAGGATGCTAGTAGCTCTGTTAGTCTGAATATTGATGTCGAACCTAGGGGTGTGTGGTAGTGGGGGGCGGTTCAGGAGCAGGAGAGAATTGGCTTAAGACCCAGTTGCCAGGGTAGGCATAAGGGTGCACCCATGTGAAAAACAGTCCTTGCCTAGGGAGCCGGAATCAGCATTGCAGAGGCTCAGCATTAGGTTACCAGGCCAGTGGAATCAGGAATCCTGGGGGAGGTGCTGGGCTGTGCCAGTGGGTGTGCGTGTAGGAGCGGGAAGTGTCCAGGTGGTATAGGAATGCAGGGGATTTGGGGCATTACTGGAAAGCAGGGCAGCCCTAGAGAACTGGGGTTCCGGGTATGTAACCACCCACAGTCCAACAGGGATCCAGTTACCACCAGCAGCATGTAAAGTAGGAATTTGGATTTTGTGAGACTGCAACTCAGTTCTCAGAATGAAATGCAAGACCAGGACCATAGGAGCAGCTAGAGTATCTTGATGCTGAATCCCAGCTGTAGTGGGCTGCAGCTTTTTAAATTTCTTCTGCCTGAGCATAACCACACTAGAGATTGGTGCCTGCCTACTGTACCTGAGGATGAAGAGAGTTTGGTAGAGAAAAGGGGTTTCAGGAGTTTGAAAATCACATGGGGCCTAACAGTTACAAAGCTTGTCACTAACAGTAGAATTAGTGTTGAATTAGGTCTAATCATTGAATTTCTGTCATTGAAGTAATTTTTTTTGTACAGTTACTTAGTCCCAACTGTGTCTTCTTTTCGAATATGTTATCTCTTATAGGATTGGCAGAGCAGAATCCACTTAGTACTTCTACCACTGTAAAATTTCAGAGGCATCCTGCCTTTGACCTTGCTCCTGCCTGGGGGTGTTATTGGCACGCTGTGCGGACAGCTCCTAGTTGTAAGGAACCGAGGTGGAGGATCGTTAGCGTCACTGGACATCCCCGCACCAGTCAGTTCAGTCTCTCAGTCATGTCCGACTCTTTGAGACCCCATGGATTGCACCACGTCAGGCTTCTCTGTCCATCACCAACTCCCGGAGCTTGCTCAGACTCATGGCCATCGAGTTGGTGATGCCATCCAACCGTCTCATCCTCTGTCATCCCCTTCTCCTTCTGCCTTCAATCATTTCTACCATCAGGGTCTTTTCCGAGGAGTTAGTTCTTTGCATCAGGTGGCCAAAGTATTGGAGTTTCAGCTTTAGCATCAGTCCTTCCAATGAATATTCAGGACTGACTTCCTTTAGGATTGACCGGTTGGATCTCCTTGCAGTCCAAGGGACTGTCAAGAGTGTTCTTAAACACCACAGTTCAAAAGCATCAATTCTTTGGTGCTCAGCTTTCTTTATAGTCCAGCTCTCACATCCATACATGATTACTGGAAAAACCATAGCTTTGACTAGATGGACCTTTGTTGGCAAAGTAATATCTGCTTTTTAATATGCTCTCTAGGTTGACCATGGCTTTTCTTCCAAGGATCAAGTGTCTTTTAATTTCATGGCTGCAGTACCATCTGCAGTGATTTTGGAGCACCCAAAAATAAAGTCTGCCACTTTTCCACTGTTTCCCCATATATTTGCCATGAAGTCATGGGACCAGATGCCATGATCTTAGTTTTCTGAATGTTGAGTTTTAAGCCAACTGTTTCACTCTCATGTTTCACTTTCATCAAGAGGCTCTTTAGTTCTTCTTCGCTTTCTGCTATAAGGGTTGTGTCATCTGCATATCTGAGGCTATTGTTATTTCTCCTGGCAGTCTTGATTCCTACTTGCATCAGAGTGACAACCAAAACCACTACCAATAAAACCACCACTGATAAAACCACATCTGGGATTTGCTTAAAATATTCTAGTTAAAAAGAAGACGTGTTATGTAATGAGATTGATTAAATATGGTAGTTGTTAAGTTGTTTGGTAGTTTGCTAGAGGGAAAAAATACTTGGAAGGGTTGTTTATGTGCTTGAAGTGAAGGACTTGCTATTTCAGACTGGTTCCTGGGAACTGACGTTTGTCAGGCAGTTGAGCAGCTGAGCATGGTGTCCGTCTTTCTCTGCAGTTAAGCATGACTGGGAGAGGATGACAGAGGCAGTCCAGAACCACATTGGCTCTCTCAACTGGGGCTACCGTGTGGCTCTTCGGGAGAAGAAGGTCACCTACGAGAACGCGTACGGGGAGTTTGTGGGGCCTCACAGGATTAAGGTAAGCGTGTGACTGCCTCAGAAGGTGTTTTGGTTTCGTATCTTTAAGCTTTTGTTGGGGGAGGAAAAGTGAAGGTGACTATCCTAATAAAAACATTAGTGACCCAGACCGTCCAGTTGGGTGATTTTGCGGTCACTTCTTAGGGGCTTTCTCTTGTGGTGCAGTGAAGGATAAGAGAACTGGGTTTGGGGCCAGATTAGCAGGATTTGAGTCTTGGCTTTGTCCTTGAGCAACCTCTCACTGCATTAGCACATTTTTATGAAGATCAAATTGGTCACTGTAGTAAACAGCTTTTCTAATTACAATGTTGACAATTCTGAAGGATAATAACTTATTAAAAATTGACATACTGATTCCTTTGTAGGCAACAAATAACAAAGGCAAAGAGAAGATCTACTCAGCAGAGAGATTTCTCATTGCCACTGGTGAAAGGCCACGTTATTTGGGTATCCCCGGTGACAAAGAATACTGTATCAGCAGGTAAGGACAAATTGGGGGAGAAAAGAGGATTTCTGCTTTTTCTTCAAGTCTATTTAATCCTTTTCCTAGAACTTAAGTTTTTCACCATATTTTTGCCCAAAGGAACAGGGAATTAGGAAAAAGAGAAAGGAAAAAAATTTTAAACCAGAGAACATTAAAAAAATTCAGGATTATAAACATTGGTCATCTTATCACCCAGAGTTAATCTCTCTCTCTCTCTCTATTCATATGTAGATTATGCTTACAGTATTTATATTTGAAATTTATATGTATATGTCTTATAAATGTATACTATGTAAAACCCAGATGGATATTTACAGATATTTTGGAAAATAATTAATACATATATCTGTACCTTTTTTTGTTTTTTGCAAAATTAGGATTATATATTACCCTTTATGTAGATACTATACGACTTGGAGGATAACAGGCCATTTAGGTTTCTCAACCCTAGTTCCTTATTTTTTGCTATTTGAATGGGTGCAATGTCAGTGCAGAGGGACCTTCTGAAATCAGTGAATCAGGCAAGGTTTTGCTGTGTGGCTTATTTTTGCCCATCAAGTGGAAATACTGGTGACATTTTATTGTTCAGGAGTTTTGAATTATAAAGTTATTAAGATAAAGATTGTTGATAAGTATGTCTCCTTGGGTGCTCTTTGCCCAGGAGTTTCTTATTTTCTGATTATGTTATAGCTACTTATTTTTAGGCTTTTTTCCTTTGTAATATGAGTTTATCCTGTGAACCTTTGCCCAGGGGCAGCTCAGTTGGCATCTTTTGTTTTCACTGTCTTAGATGAACCCCCCCCTTGTCACATTTTAAAAAAACCCGCCAACAAAAAAAACTTTAAGAACCCCCAAGGCCGGGGGCCCCAACCCAACAAAAAAATTTGGCAAGCCTTAACTTTGAATGGTTTTTATATTATAGAACCCACATGTTGACGGCTTTTCTCCACCTCTCTCCCCACCCTTGGTGCTTGGTGTGGTGGTTAAGGAAAAGTAACACAGGTTTTCCACCTGAGAGAGAGCTGGAGTGGTGGGACGAGGGTGGGGGTTTGGGTTTGCACACGTGCGATTTTAAACACGTAAGTGGAGAATTACTCCAAATAGTACTAAATAAACTTGTTTGACTGGGAGCTGGACTAGTGTCAGAGTTGCTGTGGTTTGCTGTGCTCACCCATGGAAGCTCGAGCTGCTCCCACAGCAGTTGAGTGGTGAGAAAGGAGAGTGTCTAAGACCTTGTAAAAATTTTTCAAATGTTATGTGTGTAGCTAATTGGGATGGTTTTAGTCCTAAAAGTGTCTTGTTCCTAAGAAAGTAAAAATACCTACTTTAATTTGAGTCATTATACGCATATGGACATTTTTCTGTTCGTTTCTTCCTTTAAAAAATTTTTTTTCTTTTTTTTTTTTTCAGTGATGATCTTTTCTCTCTACCTTATTGCCCGGGTAAGACCCTGGTGGTCGGAGCATCCTATGTTGCTTTGGAATGTGCTGGATTTCTTGCTGGTATTGGTTTAGACGTCACTGTTATGGTACGATCCATTCTCCTAAGAGGATTTGACCAGGACATGGCCAACAAAATTGGTGAACATATGCAAGAACATGGTATCAAGTTCATAAGAGAGTTTGTACCAATAAAAGTAAGTGGGGTTGCCTGGAGGTTTGTTGATTCTATACTCACATTTAAAGGTGAGAGAGAGTTGGGGTGGGTGAGGGAAGAAACCTCCTTGCAGCATGATGAACCACTGGGGATACTGTCATTCCCCAACTGTGTGATTTAGGTACGTAAACTATTTCTACCTGAATAGGTCCAACCACCTAAATAGCTTTATTCTTATTTGCAGATTAATGATTTCCTTCCCCTTTCAACTTTACCACCTTTTATTCTCTTCTGTTGAAATGCTTTGCTTTATGCGTTCCATTATTTTATTATCTTTGACCTGTTATATTAATACTTATTTTTTCCTACATACCAGTGATTTAAATAAGAGTTTGAGATTAGACTGATTTTTTTTTTCTTTCTTTCAAAGACGTTTCTCCTTAGTATACAGTGTAGTCCACAGATGCACTGTGTTATTCTGGCTTCCCTGGAAATGATTATCTAATTTTGTTATGTCAGCTGGCCTTGTTTTGCTCATTTAATCTTCTTTTCATTTCTTTTGAAAATGCTGAATAATATACCAAATTATATTTGGTACTTGTTAACCACAACTGTTCTGATACACAAGAGTGACAGAATCAATCACTTGACATATCTCTAACAGATTCCTTTAGGGCAAGTAAGGATGAAACTATATTGTTTAAATTAAGGAATTTTAGTTGTAATATTGTTTAAATTAAGGAATTTTAGCTATTGTTTTTAAAATTGCTTAATGGGCTAGTAACTTGGGGTTTTTTTGTGGAAATATGAATCTCTTGAATGCTGGTAAATAACAGTATATAAGTGTGGAGATTAGAAAGACACGAGTTCAAAGCCTGTTCTGCCAGTCTCTTGCCATGTGACTCTGGGAGAATGACTGCTCCAAGCCTCACTTTCTTTTGTGAAATGATCATGATAACATCCATCTCACAGTTCTCATGAGGATTCTACTAGCATTAAAACTGTGATTAGAAGAAACAGCAGTGTATATATGCTGTTCTGATAAAAAGTAGCATCTTCCTTTCTAGTCTCTGAACATTTTGGATGTTGTGGGCCCTTTGAGAACATGGCGGACTATCCCTAGTGAAATAAGCCTGTGTCTGTGTACATACCATTCTGCTTGGTTTACCAGGGTGATTTAAAGATTGTGGGCTTTCCTGGTGGCTCAGAGTCTGAGCAATGCAAGAGACCCAGGTTCAATCCCTGGGTCAGGAAGATCCCCTGGAGAAGAGAATGGCTTCCCACTCCAGTATTCTTGCCTGGAGAATTCCATGGACAGGGAAGCCTAGTAGGCTACAGTCCATGGGGTCGCAGAGAGTTGGGCATGACTAAGCAACTAACTTTTTAATTTTTTCCCCAGAGATTGTAGTGTGCTTTCTCTGACTTTTTTGTTTGCTGATTTGCTCTCTGAATTTTATTCTATTTGAAAATTATTTGAAGGAAAGCCCCTCTAACAAACAGTAAGCAATGAGAAAGAAGGGAATAAATAAAAGAATCTCATGTCGTCCTAAAGATGTTGATGTGAGGGAGATGGGACATAAAAGACCTTACAAGCCAGATTTTGTATTTTAACTTTGGGTTAACCAGATAGAAGGAGAGGATAATTATCCACCTTGATGTTGATATGTGTCTTTATTGTAGAGTAAAACCTTGTATCGCTTTCACAGGTTGAACAAATTGAAGCAGGGACACCAGGCCGACTGAGAGTGGTAGCTAAGTCCACTAATAGTGACCAAACCATCGAAGGAGAGTATAATACGGTAAGAAGTGGTCCTCAGTCATACTTCACTAGAAAGCAAACCATATGCTTATGCTATATTTGCTGGGTTGCTGTTTCTAAACTGGCGGTTCTGTTCCTATTCTAAGACACCTTTATTACTTACGATATTATAAATCGTTTTGGTACAGGGATGGATTTAAATTTTTTCTACTATAACTTAAATATTATTTATCAAATGGTTATGGAAAAGTATTAGCATGTTAAAATGAGCTAGAATTTCTCTGTCTCGTGTTCTTGTATTTCCCCAGCCCACCACTTAAAAAAAAACAACTTCAGTGGTAGGCTATGCTTTGTCTCTATACTTGGCTAAATTTACTAAGGAATTGTTAATTCCCTTTTTCTTAAGAAATGTGTATGGCTTTTTACTATATCATGTTTAGAAGATTTAATTTAAATGATTTTGATTTGTTTAAACTCTTGGCATTATTTTCTTAATAGAATATTTCTTTCCAGGTCTGGAAAATGAATCAGATTGGCTTAATGGAAAAAAATCTAATGAAATAACTCATGCAGAACAGTCACTATATATTAATGATTTTTCAGGTATTGCTGGCAATAGGAAGAGATGCTTGCACGAGAAAAATTGGCTTAGAAAACGTGGGGGTAAAGATAAATGAAAAGTAAGAAAAAAGCTTTCTTATGTTTTATTAAATACTATTTCAGTGATTTATAAGGCTCCTTAGTAGTGGAGTTTTAGGTGTTTTGTTTGCTTGGGTTCCCTTTTGTTTGGCCATGCAGCACTTGGGATCTTAATTCCCTGACCAGGGACGGAACCCTGGCTCCCTGAAGTGGAAGACCACCAGAGGAGTCCTTGGAGTTTTAGATTGTTAAAGTTAGTTTTTACCACAGTTGGAGCATTCACTTTATAAGCTTAGAGGACTCTTCATTCAGTGCTAATCACAGTCTTTCCTGTTTGTCTTTTTTTTTTTTTCCCTTTTTCGAAATCTAAATGAGATTTCATTTTATTTCTTTAGTATGTATATGTACAGCAAAAGATCCAACTCCTCACTGAATTGCAGTTATGTGCTTTAAAAGCTTCATTGAATATACAGATTTAAACCAGGTTTAAAGCTACCAAGTCTTAGAATCACTAGAGTGGTCACTACGTTTCTAGTGACAGCTGCAAATATAAAAACTTCGCTGTTTTATATATATTAGCTAAAATCCTTTGCACTGTACCACTGCTCTAGATAATTGAGACTGTTTTCTGCTTCTAGAAAGGGGCATGGGATATTTTCCCAGTATCACCTTTCCTACATCCATTTGAAAACAAGTGCTGTGAAAGGCTAGGTGCCTTGGAAGTTGAAAATAGAGAGTCCCCACTACCGCCCCCCACCTCCCCTCCCTCTTTCAGGAGGAACATTTGTTCAGAAGAGATTTCTTAATCTTAATATGAGGGTTTTTGTTTTATTCTTTTCCCCCTTGGTTTGGAGAGACAAGGGAGTTAAGGAGGTCTGGTAAGATTTAGCGGACCAAGTGTTCCATCATCTTGAAAACCTACTTGCCTTTGTGCACTTGGGGCCAAGGTTTAGATTTTATATAATATTAATAGCTCACATTTATTCTCTGCTTACCAGGGTCCATGGACTGCTGTGCTAAGTGTTTTGTACACATTTCTCATTCAGTCCTTACAACCCCTTAAGGTAGATGATGGTATTTTTTACTTCTGTTATTCCCATTACCATCATCCCCATTGATAGGTGGAAAAATGAGGCTTAGAGATGTTAAATAGCCCTCCCAAGATCACAGAGGTAATAAGTAACAGACCTAGTTACTGCAGTTCAGAATCCTCCTTTGTTCTTAACCACTGTGTTCTACTTTTCCCATTCCACGGTTTCTTAACAATTTTCTTATTCCTTTGATTTTCAAAATAGTTAGAACGTCTAAGCTTTTGGCTCCTCTGAGCTTTGTTGTTGTTGTTTTGGTAATACATTAGAACATTACCCTCAGCTAGACTCCCGATTTTGGGTTTCTTTGGGAGAAAGGGGATTTTGTTGGACTTAATTAACAGTGGTAATGGATGGTGCTTTTAACTGAATGAATTTGCAGGACTGGAAAAATACCTGTCACAGAGGAAGAGCAGACCAACGTGCCATACATCTATGCCATCGGTGACATATTGGAGGGGAAGCTGGAGCTCACCCCCGTGGCCATCCAGGCAGGACGGCTGCTGGCCCAGAGGCTGTACGGTGGTTCCACTGTCAAGGTGAGTGGGGGCTGTCACCACTGAGACGCTGCTCTTGGTGGTCCTCCTGCTGCTCTGGGTAAGCTGGCTGTGAAGTTTTCCAGGTCGTGAATAATTTAGTTATTTTGATGATGGCATCCCACATGTCTAACTATTCCAGGCAAGACATTGTTATGACCTCTTTTGTGATTTATTATGGACATTGTCACTCTCAGAATCAAATGAGTTTGAGTAAATTAAGTTTCAGCCCTGTTATATTCTGTAAATTCCTAATAGTTGCATCTTACATCCATTCATTATTACCAATTTGTGTATAAAGTTCTAAATCTGTTTATGGCACCTGACTAGGCTATAAAAGGATTTGAGGATGTAGGTAAATAATGTCAGTCTTCAGAGCTGTTTGAAGTGATATTCAGGCTTTATTCCCCCATCCGTTCTAAAAATAGATCTCCTGCTCTTGGAATGTTGAGAGTGTGTTATATTAATGTTCCAAAATGATTTTAAAAGTCAGTGTAGGAAATTAAAACTCTGATTTGTATCTTATGAGACTAGATGACAAGAAAAGAATAAATATGCTCAATTAAATTTTTAAGACATTTTTTAAAGAACAGTTTTAGCTTCACAGCAAAATTTAGAGGAAGTTTGGTGGCTTGGCGGTAAAGAATCCTCCTGCAATACAGGAGATGTGGGCTCAGTCCCTGGGTCGAGAAGGTCTCCTGGAGAAGGAAATGGCAACCCACTCCAATATTCTTGCCTGGAGAAACCCATGGACCGAGGAGCCTGGTGGGCTGCAGTATATGGGGTGGGAAGAGTTAGACACAACTGAGTAACTCAACCACCACCACCATAGAGATTTTCCACATATCCCCTGCCCCTAATTATTATCAATGTTCCCTTCCTAATTATTTTTTTAAAAGGATTCTGGAAATTATTTTTTTAAAAAGGATGGTAAAGAATTTAGTCACTCCCCATTTTCCTTGTGCATAAATCATCATGGGTTGATTTAGTTAGGTTATATCAATTGTGCCTCAGAGAATACTGCTAATAAAATTTGTGACAAGCATTTTAAATATATATGGGGTTTGGATTGTAGTATAATAAATCTTAATATTTTGAGATTAACAGGATTGAGGTTGAAAAGAGTTTTTAAAAAAACACAAGGTTGTTTGATCATGCAGGGAATAGTAGTTGGTTCATATTACTATTTGGAATAAACTTAACTGCCTCTTTAAATGAATTCTGTCTTTTATACTTTTTGGAGTTTTTGAGTTTATGGTAAATCAGGAAAAGTAATTCAGAAATATAATGAGGTGCATTTAATTTTTTTTGACCTTTTTATCTTTGTGATTTCCTAAAGTGAAAAGAAAAAAATTTTTATACCAATAATAGAGGGCAAATATGCAAAAAATTGCTAGTAAATAAGTGTGAAATTACTGTAGCACCACTTTTCTTAAAAATCCAGTGAATCCACCTAATTTGGACATACCGTTCTTTGTGTGAGCAGAGTACTATATTCTAGCATCTCCCAGGTAGAGCAAATTCTGTCTTAAAGTGTCTTCAGCTTTTATCAGCATCAGAATTAATGTAAATTGAAATTAAAGGACTCTTTTTTGTTGTTCCTTTTTCCCACCCTGTTTTTTAGTCTTAACTAATAGGACAGGTACTTTACTGAACAGGAAAATAAACAAGTGCTGCTAAGTCCCTGAGTTTGAAATCTCATCAGTCTGTTTGTCAAGTATAGTAAACAAAACTGGATTACTAATAGATGTAGGTTAATTGTATTTGGGGGAATTACACATTGTTTTGTTTAAGAACTGTGTAATCCTTTTAATTTTGCTCTGTATGCATTAGTAGATCATTCCCATACATCTGAGAACATTAGCAGATCCACATTCACTTGCCTTCCTTCTGAAGGAGCAGCTAGCTATCTGTTGAAAACTTCAACTTAACATAAACACCTGCCTAAATTAAATCTGTTGTGGGATTTTAGGAGAACCCAAATAGAATAATGGGTGTTTGTGTCTTCCTCCAAAATTGGTAACATATATTCATTGCCCTAGAAGAGAGTTTGGAGAGAAGAGGGCAGAGAGCAGCTGTGTCTGTCCGTGCCTGGCCTGTGCTCAGCGCTGTGTGCACGAACCTCACTCCACTACAGAGCAGCTGTAGAGATGGATGACATGTTACAGGGGGTTAGGTGACTGTCCAAGGTCACAGTGCTTGGAGGCAGCCAAGGCAAAAAGCCAGTCCACATCTGATTTGTAGGCACTGCTGTGTTAACCGTGAAAATGCATCTCGTGAAGACGGCTCAAATGGTAAAGAATCTGCCTGCAATGCGGGAAACCAGGGTTTGATCCCTGGGTTGGGAAGATCCCCTGGAGAAGGGAACAGCAACCTACTATTGTATTCTTGCCTGGAGAAGTCTATGGACAGAGGATCCTGGCAGGCTACAGTCCATGGGGTCGTAAAGAGTTGGACACAACTAAGCAACTGACACAAAGACATAAGGAAGATTTGGGAAGTATCAATTATAAAAGGTGATGAGGGTACAAAAGACATCTCAAGACTTTAAAGACTACCACCAATACAGAGGTGCTTGTACTAAATGAAGTGGAAAATATATTGGAAAAGTTTAAATTAATCTTTTTAACGGTAGATTAAAGTCATTTTCAAAGCTGCTAAACATATTTGCCCTTAAATATTCTGTTATTTTTGGGAACATTGAGGAAGGAGAAAAATATTTTTATCATTTCAAAAACAGAGAACAGATCTTAAAGCTGAGTCAACCTGCAAGTGATGGACATTCTAGTAAGGTCTTTAAAAAGCCAGATGATAAGACACATGTACCAGCTTTAAAAGATTGTAATGGGCACTCACTTGAAAAGACCCTGATGCTGGGAAAGATTGAAGGCAGGAGAAGGGGACAACAGAGGATGAGATGGTTGGGTGGCATCACTGACTCGATGGACATGAGTTTGAGTAAACTCGGTGAGTTGGTTATGGACAGGGAGGCCTGGCGTGCTGCGGTAAATGGGGTCGCAGAGAGTCGGACAGGACTGAGCAACTGAACTGAACTGAATGGGCACTCCAGCTGTTTTCTCCAGGCACCAGTAGATTTCTTGAGTCTTTTTTTTAGGATTGCTCTCAAAACACTTGAAATAATTTTATTATTACTTAAAATAGTGCTTTGTAAGATAGCTCAATTTTACAGTAAATATAAAAATATTTTATGTCAGAACTACAGGGAAACCACAGTACACATCTCTGCAACTTGAGGATGGACTGTGTTCCAAATAGAAGTATTGAGAAAAAGGGCTATGTTTCTCAGGCTAGGCCACAATAGTCAGTTAAGCTGATTGGAAACAGTTTTGGGACCAAGGAGAAAAAATATCTTTAATTTGGATCCAGGTTTCCATCTGATACATTATTTTCTGCCATCATTTAATGCACATCTGCTTAAGGTGAATTCATTGTGGGGTTTTTGGTTGTTGTTTTAGTTTATTATACCTTCACTTTATACTTTTTGGAAGATATTTTTGCTGAATAGAGAATTCTAGATTTACAGTGTTTATTCAAGTATTTTAATAATTGGCCCATTGTCTTCTGGTTGCATAGGAGAATATGTTATCATTTTTATCTTTGATCCTCTTAAGATTTTCCCTTCCACTGCTTTTTAGCAATTTGATTATTGCATACTTTGCCATGCTTTTCTTTATAATTATTCTGCTTATGGTGTGTCAAGATTTGGGGATTTATTTGTTCATAGTTTCCATCAAATCTGGGAATTTTTTAGCTGTTCACTAAGTTTTTGCTTTCCTCCTCTTTGGTCCCCCTCCGAGCCTCGAGTTAGTGCCTGGCGGCTCACTTGATACTACCCCGTGGGCCTCTTGCTCTCTTCATGTTTTTCCCTGTTCCTCTGCTTTATTTTCTCAGAGAGCCTATTGTGGTGTCTTCAAGTCCACTGGTTTTTTCTTTTGTAGTCTTGGGATGTAAATCCCATTCTGTGTAATTTGCACTTCTAGTAGTTTCATCCCTGCAAGTTACATTTTCCTTTTCTGTCCTCAGCAGACTGCATTTTTATCTACCTTCTTGAGCCTACAGAACACGTTTTTAATGGCTCTTTTAATGTCCTCTGCTAATCCCATCATGTCTTTCACAGTGTCTGTTTCTATTGATTAGTTTTATTCTTGATATTTGTTTGGATGGATGAAGACTTTGTGCCCTTCACACTATTGGGTGCTGGGTTTTGTTGAATTCCTTTATATAGTGTTGGAGTTTGTTTTGGTGGCCGTTAAGTTACACAGGAATCATTTTATCCTTGTGTAACTTGCTTTTCAGCTTTTTTTGGGTGTGTCAACAGTAACGTTTCATGTAGGCCTAGTTTAGTTCTACTGCTCAATGGAGGCCCTTCCAGGGGATCTGTCCCGTCCCTCCTGCCGTGAACTCATTCGCTACTCTGGCTTGTAAGAGCTCTGGTCGTTTGGGGGCTCACTGCTTCCCGCGGCTCCTTCCTCACCCGGGGTGCTTTCCTCTGGCATCGATTTACAGATCAGTGCTCAGCCCAAATCTCAGGAGGCCCTCTCTGCATCTCGCTTTCTCTTTATGCAGCCCCACCCACTTTGCTGTTCTGCCCTGCAGCTTCCGGCCACGTTGTCATCCCTGAGCCGGGGTCTCTGTCGCTGTAACTCAGAAAGACCACTCTGCACTCTCTTCCCTCTCCTTAGCAAGCCCTGGAAGCTGCTCTGGGCAGGAAACTCGCCTCATCTGTTGCCCTTCTCGTTTCCCTTCTCAACAGCAGCCATGGTGCTGCTACCTATGGTCCAGTGTCTAAGATGTGTTTCATATTTGTCTGTTTTGTTTTTTTTTTTTAAGTTGTTTAAAGCAGGAAGTAAACCTGGTCCATTGTGGGTGTAAGCAGAAGTCTGTCTTTACTTTTGAATCAGAATTCCAAGGATTTGTATTACCAAAAAAAGACTATATATTACTAATTCTAGAGGGAGGCACCCTTTAAAGAGTCCACACTACTGTGTTAGAGTGAGAACTCTATTGTTCATATTTTAAGTTCAGAATGACTTAACCTCTTTGTCCAAATGTGACTGGGTAGGTTTTTACCAACTGGCGTTTGCAAATGTATTTGGCATCTGCATAATTATGTTTTTCAAAATTCACATCAGCATATTAAAGCCTCTGAGAAATCTGATGGTTGAGAAGCCTATTTGCTTAATACAGCATTTTACAAACGTGCTTGACTTCAGAACCCTTTTGTCACCTATGACTATTAAAGTATGCTTTGGAAATACTGTCATAGTCGTCAACTTTTTTTTAATAATTGTGTTTATGTATTTGTTTTTGACCGTGCTGGGTCTTTGTCGCTCCACAGGCTTTTCTCTCGGTGCGGCCGGTGGGGGCTGCTGTCTAGTTGGCGGTGTGCAGGCTGCTCACTGTGACGGCTGCTTGAGCAGCGCGGGCTCCAGGGCACAAGGGCTTTGGCAGTCACGGCCCCCAGGCTCTAGAGCACAGGCCCAAAAGATGCGATGCGTAGGCTTAGTTGCTCTGTGGCACGTGGAATCTTCCCAGATCAGGGATCGAACCTGTGTCTCTTGCATTGGTAGGCAGATTCTTGACCACTGAGCCGCCAGGGAAAAGCCCATCATGAACGTCTTTTGTTCCTTGGTCTTCGTCACCATGTTAGTGGCTGTGTAAGATTGCATTGAGAATGTGTACTATAGAACCACTTTCTTACCTGGATCTTAAAGCCACTCTGATATTTCCACTATTGATGAGGACTGAGACATTGCTCAGTTAATTTATGTAGCTTTTTCTGTATATTAAATTATTATCATAGATTTCTAAAGTGAGGTTCTTGGGCCAAAAACTGTAAAATGTTTTTATGGCTCTTGATTTGTATTACCTAATTGATTTTCCAGTAAAATCTGTTAACTTCTGCATTAGTAATAGACTTTCAACATCGGGTGCATGAGGATTGTTTTTGCTTTATTTAAGGGAGAGAAAGCATGTGCTTGTCAACAAGAATTGGTAGCTGGATAAGTCGCATGAGTCTCTTATTCATGCCTAGTCTTGACAGAATGTAAACCTCTGCTGAGAAATTATCACATCAGTTAATGGTTCTCAATACAGTAGGCTTTTATTAGTCTACTTTTCTCTCCTCAATTTGAAGTTTTTTGAAGTATATGTTCTTTTGAGTTATAATCTCTCCAATCATATAACTCCCCTCCTTCGTTTTGAAACAGTGTGACTATGAAAACGTTCCAACGACTGTTTTCACTCCTTTGGAATATGGGTCTTGCGGTCTTTCTGAAGAGAAAGCTGTGGAGAAATTTGGGGAAGAAAATATTGAGGTAAGTTTTACTCTTCACTACTGCTCTTTTCCCCAAAATTTAAAATAATTTCTGTCATAAAGAGAACCTGAAAAATAGTACAAAGGTCCTCTGTATAGCCATTTTTCAGACTCATGTATTAGTAACATCTTGCTCGTTTGTTTTATCCTCTTCATATTCTCTTTATCTCCGTGCATCTGTGCATTTCTTTTTCCTGAACCATTTGAGAGTAAGTTGAATGCCCTTTTACCCCTAAATGCTTTAATACTATGAACAAGGACATTTTCCTGTCTAAACGCACAGTGGTTACTACTTTGTAGACAGCTTACTGTTGATATAATATTGTTATCTGACCCACCCTCCGTTCATCAGTTTCATCAGTTGACCCAGTAATTCTTGGTTCTGTTTTTCAAAACCACTTTTACTGGTTTCTTTTTATTATTAATATGGTTAAAAATACAGGGAAAAAAACTAAAAAGTACCTACATTTCTACTGTTCTGTTAGCTTTTTTTTTCCCTACCATTGCTCTTTAATTTATAGCAAATGTTGCCAGTCACTTTTTATCCTATGTATAGTCAAGGAAGGGATTCCCTTGTAGCTCAGTTGGTAAAGAGTCTGCCTGCGGTACAGGAGACCCAGGTTCATTTCCTGGGTCGGGAAGACCCCTGAAGAAGGAGATGGCAACCCACTCCAGTATTCTTGCCTGGGAAATCCCGTGGACAAGGGGCCTGGTGGACTACAGTTTATGGGGTCACTAGAGTCGGACACAACTTAGCTACTAAACCACCACCAATGTCAAGGAAACTGCGCATGAAGTAAACTACTTTTATATACACAAATGCTACACAAAGGGTCTACTGTTTTAAATCATTTGGGAAAAAAAAAGTTTGCAGTAACATCTAAAAGACCAGATTTGTGAATCAGAGTACATTTTGTAATATGAAAGTCTATTTTAAATTTCTCAACAACTTCTTTTATTCTCTAGTAATAGCATGTAATATTGATCTATCAGTAACACATTACTAACATTTTTTTTTCTGGTAATAAGAATAACATACCCTCATAGGAAATTTTCAGAATATTAAAAAAGGAAATTTTAATTCATGAAAAGATATCTGCTATTAATATTTTTGCATATTCTAGTCTAAGTTTCTGTTTTATATATGTATAATTTTGTGTCGGTATTCATAGCTTAATTTTTTTTTTTAGCTTAATTTTTAAAGTGTGATTAAGTTACATGCAATTTTCTGTTGTACTTGGCACAATTAGTGTTAGGTCACAAGCATTTCCCTCTAAAAGCACCATTTTAAAAAATGACTTTCGCAATATTTCCTTTCAGGGGTGCTACTATACAGTAATTTTAAAAGCCATTTTATTAGATTAATTTTTCACTATTATGAATAGAATGATGAATATCTTTGTTACTCATCGTCTCTTTCTCTGATTATTTTCTGAGGATAGATTGCTATCAAAAAATAACTTAAATTTTAAGGTTCTTAATATTCTGTGTTTTTTCAGATAATCTTTTGTATTGTTTGATTAGAATTTGCATTTTTCATTATAAAGGCAAGGCATTTGAGTTGAAGAAATCTTGAAAAATGCAAAGGAAATAGGAAACAATCACTCATAGACTTAATGTTTATAACACAGCTGTTGTTAGTAGTTTTTTAAATCATTTTTCCCCCTGTGTAATTGTTGTGATACTATGATACTATACATTCAGGTTTTTTTTTTTTTACATTCAGTTTTGTAACCCACATTTATCAAAAAATTTGTATCATATCACAAGGAAAAAGAATGTTATATAATGTTTAGATAATCAGTGTGTCTTTAAAATATCCTACCAACCTTGTATGTTTTGAATCAAGCCTAGCAGTTGAAGGAGAAAAGAATCCTGTTAGTCATCCAAGACTTAAGTTTATGAAATGTCAGTAAGGATGTCTGTGTCCTTTCATCTATCATCCTTCCCTCCTTCAGCACTTTTGGTGGATAATTTCAGAGAAGGAGATGTCTTTGAAAGTATTAAGTAAGAGAACTAGATAATTGCTATAATTGTCCCTGGCACCTTACTTGTTTCTTGCCCAAAGTTGTCATTCTTTTGAGGTAACAAGATAGCGTTGGTCTTTTTTTTAAAATGCAAGATGGAAAGTAATTACATGGCTTCGTTCTCTCATTTGCTTGCACTTTATTGTTACATAAGGTTTATTCATTGAAGGTTGAAGTATAATTAAGGGATGAGATTATGGCAAAAGGGTTGTCAACTATGAGTTTAAAGTTATTTACCTTCTGACCAGGTTCTTGTGTGTTCCATGAATTTTTTTGTTTAATGAAAGTCTGATTATTAAATATTAAAGAGCACCCACTGCCTTCACACTGCAGCTAGTGTTTGGCAGACATACTTCTTGAGACAATGGGTCTAAATTGTGCTCTTGTCTTCCTAGGTTTACCATAGTTACTTTTGGCCATTGGAATGGACGATTCCATCAAGAGATAACAACAAATGTTACGCAAAAGTAGTCTGCAATATCAAAGACAATGTAAGTGCTATTCATATTTACTCCTTTCTACTGATTGCATTTTATTTTTACTATGCAGCTCTGTTTTGATCACATGATACACACATTGCATTCTTTTAGTATTTCACCTGTGAGTCTCCCCAGCTGTGTGGATGTTACCCTAGGGCGAGGCCCGTGATGACATGGCCTGGCTCTCCTCTGCATGAATGTGTTGTGGGCAGGCAGTCAGAACCAATGAAGCCATTGACTGTCTAAAAATAATGACAGAACAAGAAAGGAGTAACCCAAATTTGTATCCTAAGCAGCCAGCGCTAATGAGAAAGCTGGAATGAGGGAGCTCTTAATTGGGTTCTGATTTAAGATTTCACTGCTTGCTGCTTTGTGTAACAACTAGTAACAGAGACCTAAGGATAAACCCCCTGACCTTACAGTCTTTGTTTCCTTACCTACAAAGTGATGAAGTCATTGGTTTCAGACTTTTCAAGTTTGAAAAGTTTCATCCGGGACAAGTGTATGTCTGTGCACATGCTCTATAAGTGTCCCGTGTGTGTGATGAGAACTCGGGATTTACTCTCTTAACAACTTTCATATCTAACTGGCAGCAGTGTTAGTTATTGCAGATTGCTTTTTTGCAGAGCCCAGGGTTCTAGAAAAACCTGGATTCGCTAGAAAAAAGGTCATCAATAGATGTGTTTAATAAATGGACATACTAGGATTACCTCTAGCAAGCTATACAGAATTGACATAGAGAACAGTTTTATGTAGAGTTTTGTCTTTTTAGACATAGTTTTAATAAAGTCATTTGTATGAGTATACATTAGATACCATGCTACTACAGACAAAAGGAGAGAATGTCAGACTTTCATGCTGGCAGTCTGATGTCTAGTAGGAGATGCTTCATTTGCATACAGCAGTCAGTGAAACCTCAAAAGTTTCCTTTCTATCAAGCCAATCTATTTTAACTGTACCCAGTTCTCTTGTTCTTTTTTCTTTTACTGCTGTGTCATTTGTTCAAATGGCATTTTTTTATATAATATGAAAAATAACTTACACTACCAGTGAAAACTCTTTTTAATTACAATAACTGAGGATGATGTTATTGGATGGTATTGCTGTCAATTATTTTCATAAACAAAGTATTACAAGAGATGAATACTTGTCATTGCTCTTTTGTCATAAGCCATCTTATATAAAAGCTTGCTTCTGGTTTTTGACCATCCTTGGGGCAGGCTGTATTCATTTTGAGTTCGGTCACTTCACAGTGACTGAATGTGCTTGGTTTTAAATAGTACTTGCTTGCTAGGCTTTTATTCTTTCTGTATGCTATGCTTTTTATACGCAGTATATTTGAAATTTGCAGAAAGGAGTAAGGCAAGTGCCTACTGCAGACTCTGACTATTAACATGCTGGTGCACTTGCCCAGAGCTTCTCTTATGAGAGAGAGACATTTACGGCACAGAGGCAGTTTATAATGCGTATGTGCTCAGTCGTGTCCTACTCTTTGAGACCCCATGGACTATAGCCCGCCAGGCTCCTCTGTCCTTGGAATTTTTCAGGGAAGAATACTGGAATGGGTTGCCGTTTCCTCCTCCAGGGGATCTTCCCCACCCAGGGGTCAAACTCTGATCTCCTGCCTTGGCAGGCAGATTCTTTACTCCTGAGCCACTGGGGAAGCTGGCAGTTTATAATAGGCTATATTTACTTATTGAATATGTAAAATGTGCCAGCCATTGCTTAATCGTCTACAGGTACTAACTTATTTAATCCTTGTATAATCCTGTGAGGTACTGTGCTATTGTTATCCCCATTTTATAGGTAAGGAAGCTGAAGTGTGGAAGTTAATTGTGCTAGGAGCTGAAATTCAGTCCAAGGCAACTAGAATCCATGCTGTTAACCTCTAGCCTAGTCGTCTTTCACATTCCTTCTTGGTCCTCCACCCCATTCCTTCCCTGCCCCAGAGGCTGCACTCCTCAAGTTGGGCTATCTCACTGTTCATACTTCTTATGTTTGCTGCCTATTATGTCCCATAAACATCGTACATCGTGGTTTAAAGAAAGGTGGTATCCTCAGCTAAATAGAATCCTGTACCTTTTCCTTTTTAATCTTGCTTTTTGAGATCTATCCATATTATTGCATTTAAATCTAGTGTATTTTAAGAGTAGTGTATTTTGTGCTTTATTTATCTGTGTGCACAACTCCTGATTGCCAAAATGAATAAAGCAAGAGTTTCACATGAAGTGGATTACATACAGAAGGCCCTTCCTAACTGTTTTCAGGGAGCCACTGAACATCAGATAAGGCTCTCTGCCTCATTGCCTGAGCTGCCTCGTCTGTTACAAGAGGGTTGGATTGGATGGGCCAGCCCAGAGCTCGGAAAGGCTGCACAGTAGAATGCAACAGGTTTCCCTGCTCTTGGCAGGGGTAGCCTGAGTTTGGATCTAGCATTTATCCAAAATGATTCACACACAGGTATTTCAGAATTGCCAAATATTTTTCTCTTGCTTTCAAAAATGTTTTCACATTGGAAGGCTCTCAGGTTCTTCTGTCTATGCCCCAAACTTCACTTTAAATGGTTTTTTAATTTGAATGGCTGCTCTTAAATGTTTCAGCTACCACAGGTAGTTTACCTGGAGCTTTGAAATAACCGGATAGAGATGAGGGCACCACTGAACAGCCCTTTGAAAACACTTTCCAGAACATTTTGGTGCTTACGGGGTTGCACATACTTTTGCTTTTCCAAAGTGTTTTTCCTCATCATCACCTGTGGCTGGTTCTTTCTCTTCCTTCTTGCTTAATGTAACCACAGTTCTGTATTAGCCAGTGTTGCAATACCTTCAGCCTACACAGTTTTCAGCAGCAAGCATCTGTATTTCTGAATGGGTTTTTTTTTAGATTAGACTGGAAAAATATTCCATGCTGTTAAGGAGGGAAAATTCTACATAATCGTATCACGTTTTGTATCTTAGGAACGTGTTGTGGGCTTCCACGTACTGGGTCCGAATGCTGGAGAAGTGACCCAGGGCTTCGCAGCGGCGCTCAAATGTGGGCTGACCAAAGACCAGCTGGACAGCACCATCGGAATCCACCCCGTTTGCGCAGAGGTGCGTCTCCACACTCTCAGTTAAGGCTCGGTAGCGCCTGTCCGTGTGTGCTCAGTCATGTCTGACTCTGTGTGGCCCCCATGGGCTGCAGCCTGCCAGGCTTCTCTGACATGGGATCCTCCGGGCAGGAATGCTGCAGGGGGTCACCATTTCCTACTCGAGGGGATCTTCCCGATCCCGGGATGGAACCCGAGCCTCTTGTGTCTCCTCCACTGGCAGGCGGATTCTTCACCACTGCAGCACCTGGGGAGCCCACTGGATAGTACCGTCGTGCTGCTGAACAGTAAAACCGTGAGAGGGGTTTATGCGAATGTGCTTCAGATCGTTTATTTATCGTGTCATAAATCATTTTCATGGCAGTCAGCTGATGACGACATTCATACCCAAAAAGAGCACCAGTCCCAGTTGTCCCTGAGCTCCCTGGGGGCTGTGACGTTGTCCCGTTGTTAGCTTTCAGTGTCAGAGAGCGAGGGTGAAAGTGAAGCTTGTGAAAGGTTAAGCAGATGACAGGAGGACTGGGACTCCCCGGTGGGGCCTCTGGGTGTCACTGTTTCTCCACGCCTGTCAGTGCTCATCCACCAGCCAGTCACTCACTGTGCTACGTGTCTACACTGGAGAACCTGGAGGCTGGGGGGGGTTACCTCATCCAGAGGCTTAGGTACCGAGCTGAGAATTGCAGCCTGGACGAATGTTCTCATTTCCTTTTGCTCTGTCTTTTCCCTGAGTGCCTTCCTCTATACTAATAGGCACCTGTTTAGTCACCAGGGCATTATTCACAGAAAACTTTGTATATGTTGTTTTGTTTTGTTTTTGAAAATTTGTTTTTGTTTTGTGAAACTGAATTTCAAAAATGATACATAAAAATTGACAAGAGAATAGATTTTAAAAAGCTTGTGCAGTGTATGTTTTATTCAGTGTCACGAGTAAGACTGTCTAGGGAAGGAGAGGAACCAGTTAGTTTCATTCTTTTTCAAAAACAGTTAGTTTCTTGGGGATGACATAACACACTGTTGCAACTTAGGCGTTTAGGAACAACAGAAATGTCTTCTCTAAGAGTGCTGGAGGCCAGAGTGTGAAAGCAGGGCCATGCTCCCTCCAGGACCTCTGGAGACGAGGCCTTCCTTGCATTTACAGACCCTCTGGTTGCCGGGAAGTTCTGACTTTTCTGTTTGTAGACATATTGCTCCAGCCTCTGCCTCTGGCTTCATGTGGGCTTACCTGCTGTGTGTCTGGGTCCAGATTTCCCTCCTACTGTAAGGCCATGGATTAGGGCCCCGCTGATCCAGCATGGTTTCATTTTCACTTGGTTACATCTGCAAAGACCCTGTTTCCAACCAGGGTCATGACATTCACCGGTTCTGGGGCCTAGGACTTGAGCTTCTCTTTCTGGAGGACTTGATTCAACCCACGATGGTGGGTATGGTTAAAAGTCTAGGATACTTTAAAACAAGTCATCTTCAACTGGGATAAAGACACCCCTTCCCAAATTGGTTATGCGAGTGTCTAGTTTTTTAATCTGAATTTGGTTCTCAGCAGACTGGTAAAAAGGCTGCCGTGAGCGTGGCTCCTGCTGCCTCACTTGGTCGTGCCGTGTCGTGACCCAGTGGCAGCACGCGGCGCTGTCTGCAGGCTGACTGCCAGCTGGGCAGAGGTGCGCTGGAGAAGGCAGGCGTCCTCCTGAAGCCCAGGCCCGCAGAGAGGTCAGCCAGAGGCCGCCCCCGCGGTGACCGGGCGTGCGGGAAACCCTCTTTAAGCCTTTGCCGCTGTGCATCTCCATCTGCTGTTTCTCTTCTGACTTTGAAGCTCAGAGGTGAACATGCACTCTTTTCACAGGGCTTTTCTCTTCGTCTTGTCTCCAGGGTGGCGACTGGTCGGTGAGATTGAGACCCGCTGCCGCTGTCTCCCTGAGTGCGTCTGCCGTGCAGCCGCGTGCCTCGCTCCGCGCTGGGTGCTGGGGGGCAGCAGGGCTTGGAGTCAGAGCAGTGAGGCAGGTGGGGAGGGCCGGGCACACATCTGCACGGTGAGTCCCAGGCTAAGGACAAGTGCACAGGGGCGTTTGGGGCAGGAGGGCCGCGAGGCAGTTCTTGCACAACAGGAGAAGAAGGCGTTCGTGGCAGCCCGTCCGAGGGAGCACCAAGTATGAGAAGCCTGTGTGGCCGAGATGAGGGTTATTCGGGGACCTGACAGCCCTCAGGACTGCTGCCGCAGCGCACACCAACTGTGGGTGGTTTGTGCCATTTCAGTGAAAGAACTGGGTGATTGATTGCACAACCTTTGGCTCCGCAGTAGTTGCCTGCAGGAGTTGATGCATTCCTTGGTGGAGGCTTTGCTTTTTTGGAGGAAAGTAGTTTGCACAGGATTTCCTTCCGCTGTGGAAGGTGGAGAGACTGCTGGTGTTTTGACTGAAAGCCCCTCAGGGTTGGTGAGAGGGGGAGTCTCAAGGCCTGAGGCGTCAGTGACACACAAGTGTTACTCAGTTTGAGGCTGGTGTGGCCGGTTATTTATCCTGGACATCTGAGCAGTAATAATTGAGGAGGAAACTGATCACATGTGATTTTGAGTAGTGATTTCAACTAATTAAGTTTATCTATAGAGAAAAAATAAGGGCTTAAGAAGAAGGAGCATCAGAGACAAGACCTGTGAAATGTCTTAAATGAATTTGTGCCAAACATCAGAAGTTTCGTTTCATTAATAGTCAACATAATCACAGTCTGCAGTGAATGGGATGAGGGGATCTTGTAAGGCTCGGAGGGGTTGGCCGGGTAAGAGATGTACATGCCTCCCATAGTGTTTATTTACCCTTTTGTGAGAGTGTTCTTTGTCCTGGGATCAAAAAGCTGCCTCTGCTCATTTTTTAAAAATATATTTTTAGGACAATTGTAAACCAGGTCTGTGCATATAAGATCCATGTAGGAATTGACCCTGTTTGTTTTTTTCCATATAGACTAACCAGCTATGGTGGTTTGGCTTGCCCTGTGTCTTTAACATGTTTCCAGTAGAAGAGAAATAGATAAGAGCTCTTTCTTTCTCCTTCATTTCTTTCCATTTTTGGTGGGTTTAGTTTTTTATCCACACATCCTACAAGTTCTATTTATAAATTAATTCCTGAGAAATAAAACATAAGCTTGCAAATTCACAAGCGTGAAATTTGCTTTAATGTATTCCCTTGCTCATTATTTTTCTTCCCTTAAAAAATTGGAAAGAGAATTTGTTTGATGGTATTTTAAATTGCCTGTAATACCAGCATCCGAACACAGCTATTTTCATTATTGCATATTATCTTGCTGTTCTCATCCACAGTCACACTTTTTTTTTAAACAAAGGAGTTATATTGCTCTTCAAAAAAAGAGTTGTGCTAGTTTACAGCGTCATCAGCTTTGAATTGGAGTGCTCGTGAAAATGTTGCAAAATTCAGTGTAACTTTTTCTGTAATAAGTTTAAAAGAAAGGACTATTTCAAGCCTTTTCACATATCTTTGTTAATAAGGATGAACTTCTTATTATTTTTGGGAATGTGAATTGTTCTCACATTTTCTTCTGGGTTCATACTTTAAATGTTTTACTAGCCATTATTACTTGGGTCTGACTTTTTTGCGGTGCCACTGATAAATTGGCATAGAGGGGAAAAAAAGGCTTTGTCACTGCTATAAGGCTAAATAGACTAAGGATTTTTCCCAGTATTGTTCCTCCTTTACACAGAAGTGTTTTCCCCTCTTATTCACAAGTATTTTTGATGCTGATTCCTATTGCTTTGACCTGTAGAAGTCAAAACGGCCTCAGTTTCTTGTGCTTTCCTATTTGTATTAAAGATCAGGAAACCAGATATTTCTTGAGAATCAAAGATGCAGCTGACCAAAGAGGGTGTCCAGGTGTGCTGACAATAAGTCTTGCTTCACTGGGGTCTCTCCCAGATCAGCCATGGCTTCTTGTCTCAGTGAGACACTCGCT